AAATTCCTCATTCGTTATTTGTACCTTTTTCGTTTAACACGCTGGTTAACATAATGTAATTTTATGTTGATTTTGGAAGTGTGCTTGATGGTTTTTGTTTTTATTTTCGTTTTCACAAAGAATGACAATATTATACCTAATTCAGGTTTGTTGCTTATGAGAACTTCTATATTCCAAGCAACGAAACACAGTTCCAGAATAGGAAATTTAAAAAACAAAACAAACTTTGAAATTAGATGTTATAACATTTATCAGCAGGCATTAGACAATGCGACATTTGCTGACTGTCGTGATTTCTTGAAACTTAAATAACGTCGGGGCATAGATCCTTTCTAAACACTACAAAAGCTGTTGTACAACTGAACGAACTAACAATTCAAAAACTACATTATTTATAACGGTAGTGCATGCAAAAGATACAAACAGAAAAACATTATATAAATAAATATAAAAACCAGGAACCAGGTTTCTAAAGGCAATCTTGGAAATCAACAACGGTAACGACAATCTGACAACGTTATAATATTTACTAATTTGCAGTGTAATATTGCTAGTTGAAGCGAATGACGTCATATTCCGAGGGTGTTTTGGGCGTTTGAATTGCTGCTAAATTTATATCCTCCATAAAAAATGGACAGCTCAAATAGTCCCAAAATAGTGTTAATATACCTACTTAGTTTGTGTTCTAGAATTAGAAAAAATAAATAAAGATAAAATCACTAAAAATCCCCTTTCTAATAAACTCTATTTAAAATACTACTGTATGGGCATTGTATAAACAGACAGGGTGCTTCATCAATTTATGCAAGTCAAATTCATGATCATATTTAATGTATATGACCTTGACAAAACAATGATAACGCCAACGGCAACCCTGTACATTATATGCCTTTACGACGGTATCTTTACGAATCCACCCTACATAAACGAATTTAAATATTGAAGATAAATGTTCAAATGGGAAATATGATTTGATGCTTAACAAAATGACGCTTTGATACTCTGGATATTCCGAATACTTCGGGAGAGAAAAAAACCGAAATTTTGCAAAATTTTTTTTATTTATTCATGACTTTATTTAAAGTGATATTAAAAAAAAAAATCACTTCATCAGTAGTACAGCAACACGGGTTTCACTATAAAAATCCGACCTCAATCTTTCATTCTTGACACGAAGGTGGATGCGCCGTCCTTGACACGAAGGTAGATGCGGCGCCATCTTGTCAAACGATGAGAGAGAAAGAGAAACATCATAAAATATTCAATACAATAATTATTATTATTGAGCTGTCTAGGAAACGTTTATCGTCATATGGACTTCGATTGTTCAATGCTGAACACATTGTGCTGATAAGACCGAATGATTCTCTGCGTTACGGTAGTTTCTTTGAAATTTCTCAAAAAATCTACGTAATCTTTAAATGCAATTTTATACTTGACTATATTTTTTTTGACGCCTTTTGATTTTTTTAATACTTTTCCCTTAAAAGTCTTGAAGCTGTACATTTTGGATCTCAAGCACACTTGGTGAGTCATAATATCACCATTCAGTTCATCTTCCATTACACCCAAAACCTTTTTATTGACCTGCGGTATGTTATATGGGTTATCTGGAGGGTAGTCTGATGTATCGAATTTAGACAAGTCGGCCTTAATTACTTCTTCATATACATCGTCGGTTTCGATGTCATATATGAAGCTGTTGGTATCCATATATTGAATGTGACATTTTTCAGAATCTAATTTGGACAACATGTAATCGTAGTGAAATAATTACATGAATATTTCTGAAATATTCAAAATCGACATGCCTACATACAATGGTTTGTTGAAAAATAGTTCGGCTTTCTTCAATTCAACCAACAATAAATCATCATCTAAAATGGTTCTGTTATGCAATATTGGACTGGATATTAAATTTTTTGCCACATTGACTGCCTAAATTTTAACACCCGACCATGTTTCAGTGCCTGCTTTAAATTTTGATAATGTATCACATAGTTTTTCTTATCGTACAGCGTGGTCATTAATTTCGGTAGCTTTGAAAAAATCTTGTAAATGTCTAGGATATTCCAAATCTACTTCCAGGATGTAACCCTCTGGAGAATCGTCTCCCACTGTCATAACATCAAAATTTTCGTCGTCTCCGTCCACCGACTCAAAACCACCTTAGGGTAGGGGCTCGGTCATTCCTTTCCCATACAAATTATTCATGTCGAGATAGGATTCTTTTGTCATATCATATGTCTCCATATATTTGTTATTGGCCTCAGCATAGCGATTTACGCATACGGAAATGCCTCCACGAATTCCCTGCTCCACAAACATTATCTGATCAATGTCCCGTAGAAGACATTTTGTGGATTGGAGCATGCTGTCCCAGGTATAACCAGGCACGCTGTGATACCACGCTGGATCTAGTTTGGGAAAATTTTCAAAAACATCAGCCAAAAGTATAATGTCAGTTTCAAATAGAGATCTTAATATTCACCTAAATTTTGATTTTTGAACGAATGCCAGATATTTTGGGCGTGTCGGGCGTGAGCGAACTTTTCATCGCTTAAATGTTCATCATTTAACTTGTAGAATTTATCGATGGAAGGTAGAAAAGTTTCGTTTAATACTGAAAAATCATCGATATAGGGGGTGGAACAGGGAAAATCGTTTTCGTTTTCTATTTAACCTTAGACTTTTTCTAAACATTTCATTCTTTCACATTAAAATTTTCAAAATCGTTTTCCGACCAGGAACAAACACTTGCATTTGCATTTAAGCCGAAGCGCGTGCGAAATGCTGTCTGTGTGGCAGGTGGCAGTCACAGACTGAGCGTGTGTGAAAAACGCTTCGACGACAGAGCTTCGGTGTTCGGTGTTCACCCGACCACGGCATGTTGACTGTCGACTAATGAGTACTAATATAGTTATTAACATTATAAGGCCGATAAATAGCAAATAACACTGAACTGAAGTTTGTGATCCGAGGAGATATCCGAAGATCATAATCAGCCAAGGCTGTTATTTGCAGTTCTAAATTTTGCGTCATACTGCAGATTTTTTCAACCAACCACCCAATTTGAAAACAAATTGTATTAAACAATAACTTCAATAGGTAGTTACAGAATTATTCCCATATGTAACAATGCATGCCTTATTATAATGAATATGAAAATTGAATTTGCAGTTGCTATTATTAGAAATCTGCAATCCATCCCAAGGTTTAAATTTTACAGAGGAAGAGTGTGAACTACTTATTATAGTACTTGAAGATGCAATATTTTACGAATTATTTTGAAAAAGTTGTTTTGTTATTTTCATTCTTTTAGACACTGATTTTTCTATGTAGATTTCTGCCACCGTTGAAGATTCCCATCCTCCCAGCTCTTTCAATGCTAGAAAGTCACCACCATTTTCTACAAGCATAGTTGCTGATGTTCTACGAAATGAATGTCCTGTATAAAGTTCGGGATTTTCTAGGTTTAGAAACGTGGCAATGTTCTTTGGAACGTTTCCAATGGTATGTATGCCGAGGACTTGCTTCACACATTTGCCATTCCTGTAACCAACGAAAAATCACTGATTGTTGAAATTGGGAGGACGCAAATTGGTGTATTTCTTCTATAAACCATATGCATCAAATGGAAGGGCTGTTGTTGGGATCAGAAAATTTCTGTCTTTTTTATTTTTAGTCTTTTGTAGTGATACGAGGACATTTTTCTCTGTATCTTCGAAATTTTCAAAAGTCAGAGAAAAAAGTTCACTGCGTCTACAAGCTCCAAGAATACCGAGCAGTAACACAACCTTTTCCAGTAGCCAGGCATTATCGTCCGCTTCCAGTAAAAACTTAATTATATCACTTTCCGAAAGAACATTGGTTTTCTTTGGTGAATACCCTTCATTTTTGCTCCTCAGAAACATGAACAGTTTACCGAATCTATAAGCAAACATTATTTAGATGAGTATACCTATAGTTCACTGTTGGAAGATAGAATAATTATTTACCTTGATATGTCAATGTTTTCATATATTTTTAACGAAAGTTTCAGCATTGATATTTTTGTTCACAGTGATGTAGGAGAATACGTTTCAGATATTCCTTTTGCATAAGCTAGCAGTACTTCTTCACTCAGCCTGTGTATGTTTTTATTCTGATGCCACTTTACGAAATTGTCATATTCCTGCTGATACCTCTGTTTGGTTCTTTCCGGAAATAAATTGTTGGTGGCCTCAGCTGCTTCTTTCAGTACATCTGAGGGAATTTCGTTCTTGATTATTTCTTCCATCGCTGAATTTTTTTATAATCAGTCAAACTGACAATCATAGAATCTGACAATTAACAATAAGTGAAGCACAGTTTCTAAGGATATCGATGTGGTTGCTAGGGAACTTGTCAAATATTAAATTGTTGTAGGTGGTAGATAGGTACTTTTAAAAATAGGAGCCGGCCGTTAAAATAACGGCCGGCAGCCGTTGAAGACATGTTTTCGATTTCAATTTCGCGCATGTTATAGTAAAATAACAGTACAGTATTACGAAAAAAACTTTATCGCCCTTCTGAGCGAATGGAACCTTCCACTCCCCTCTATCGGCGCCACGGCAGGGTCAGTGACCTTATTGTGGAATGTGGGAGTCCATTCTGCCGCACCCTGTATTAGAAAATATATTCTATTATTCACAATATTTGAAAGCACTCCTTTTTGAATTTACTTAATACTTATACTCAGAAAAAGTAAAACAAAGTCATCTTGAAAATAAACTTTTATTTAATTAAATAACAAACATAAACCTTTTATGTTATAAAGTTAGTTCCGAGGTTAGTTCTAACTTTACATAACGGAAAAAAAATATTATTACAGAAATACAAACTAAATTAGGAAAATATTAAATAAAGAAACATAAACAAACTTCTCAAAAAAAAATAAATTTTAATTAATTCTAGTAGGCATAACTAGCTTCCGTTTAAATTATAGGAACACTTTATGTTCCACTTCTCCAAAGTTCACCTCATCTTTTTAATTTTAGGCACGATTTCTTCATCAAGTTTCTGTTCAATCTGTCGCACAAAGCCATCAAAATTTCATTTTTATCATCATTCATTAGAACGTCATCGAAATTTTCTTCCATTAAAAAAATTTCGGTTTCAAATATTGCATCACTATTATCATCATAATAATCATCAGCATTATCATCATCATCATCATAATATTCATAATCATTATCTTGCTCCATTTCAAAAATTGTTTCTTCTTCGATTTCAAAGTTCGTGATTGCATTGTTATCAATATTGTTGATAAATCTCAAGAATTGAGGCATAAACTTACTCATTCTGGCCTCTGTGAGGCCTTCAATTCCCAATTTCCTCAACTCTACTATAATTCTGGGTGGGTATCTGAACATGCTGGTCAAAATAGTATCAGAAGCCCCCATGTAAGGCATGCACCCGTTTATTGACGCCAAACGACTTCTTTCCTAAATCAAAAACTGCGACAACTGATCATTTGTATTGATGGCTGGACAACAAAAGATGTCCAGGAATCTATATTTTGAGGAACACTACAATAGGGAACAATCATATTTTTCAAAGTATTTTTTTTCTTATTGCTTATGTTTTCAAATATGAAATGTTTATGTTTTTTTTTTTATGTCCTCATTAAAATAAAAAAAATATTTTAAATTTCAAATTATTTTCGTTGGCGCGAAAACGATTAGCTCCAAGATGGTGGAATTTGTGACGTCAACTGTCTGTAAACACAACGTTAAGGTCTGTTCTCACAAGAGCCTTTGACACTTTGCAAACTGTCGGAAAGAATCGCATAGCTTGAACTTTCGACTGCATTAAAACTTGAAAGCGGTTATTATGTGGTATTTCCGTATTTAGAGCCATATTGTGACATTTTGTGTTTCAAATAGTTCATCATAGTTGATACAGGATTTAAAAAAGCGCAGTCTGACAATCTTCCCTCTATAGACTCGTTTATGGTGGTTCAATATCAGTCGTGGCGTGACGTGAGCTGATCGTGGACCAATCCTTCCACGACTCAAGAGTGAACCACGAAAGTGTGGACCGTGGATTTACGATCAATGTAAACTACCCTTAACCTTAGTTTACGAACAGTTGACGTCACTGGAAGCGGCCATGTTAAACGTAACTTTTCCGCGCGAAACTTTTCAATTTAAAATTAATAATTGCCGTATGACTATAATATCCATAAATTAAATACAAAACTGTTTATATTCAATATTTTACAGAAAAATGTGCACCATAAAAACAAAATAAGCCATATTTATTTCCTATGAGAATTCCCTATTGTCGCAGCAATCATATCGGAACCCCAAATTGGAGGCCCTATCTTCGAAATACTTCAAAATAAATGCCCGCGCACAAGTTTTGCTGAACAAATATTGCGTCATGTGATGCAGTAATTGTCGCGTGCGAAATTGGTCGCCGCCGCTTTTTTAAACAAAAACTCGTGAAAGTCGAAGTCTACTGAATCGAAAAATGTTACATATTTTGATGGTAGGCCATCTCTACCAGCTTTGCGTACCTCTTGGTAATAGGCTTCCAATGAGCCACTTGTTCCGTAATGTATTACATTTCTGACATCAGGTTTATCACTACCCATTCCAAAGGCATTGTGGCAACAATTATTGGAATTTTATCTGTTACAAATTGTTCATGAGCATGCTTTCTCACGCTCAAAGACAATCCGGCATGATAAGGCAATGACTTGAAATTGTTCTTATTTAAGAACGAACTTATTTCTTCAGTATTAATACGTCTAATACAATAAATAATTGTAGGCCCTTCAAACATCCACTGCCCATCTTTGCGAATCATCTTCTTGCAAATCTCGCAAAACGCTCTGTTCTTTAGGCCGCACTTTGAAATACAAATTGGGCCTGTCAAAGCCAGGACAAATCACTTGGCGATTTTGCAGTTTCAAAACACTAATAATGTCCTCGTAGACATTTTTGGTTGCGGTTACAGTGACAGCCAATACGGGCACATCCACAAAAATCTCCTTAAAAATGCTCAACTTCCTAAACTCAGGCCTGAAATGGTAGCCCTAATTACTTACGCAATGGACCTCATCAACGGCAATTAGAACCAATCGGCATCGCTTTTTAATCTCATACAACAACTGTTTTCTGAGCCAACAAAACTTTGGAGTTAAATACACTATTGAATAATTATTGTTTAAAATTCCTTCGATTGTAGCTGCTGGGTGGGCTTGGGCACTGCCAAGTAAACAAGCTGATATATTTGCTACACTCAACGATAGAGCTTGGTTTTGCATTAAGGAAATCAACGGCGATATCACTAAAGTCGTTCCTCGGGAGTATATGGCCGGAAATTGGTACAGCAAAGATTTCCCATAGCCAGTGGCCATAACGGCGAAATTGTCCTGTTTCTTGTTCAACATCGAACTTATTATTTGCCACTGAAACGGTCTGAATTGATGGTGGCCAAAATGTCTTGATAGAATATCTAACGATCTTGGGTCCGGAGGACGATTGGCCGGATTGATGTCCATCACTCGAGTCGGTTGCGAGTAGATGTCTTAGTGAAAAGTTCGGTCTGTGGGCTGGAACTAAATCTATTACTTGAGTCGGTTGCGAGTGGATGCCATGTACATTTTCTAATTGCGAGGCCGCATTGTTTAGCAGTTGGTCCTTTGAAGAATCCATTAGTGTTTCTGGTCCTAAAAGAGAAAAATCAGAATAAACTTTTCGATTACTTATGAGAGACAAATCTTCATTTACATGAAAATATACAAAATTTTGCATTTTCGGACAACTCTTGTATCTCGCTTCTCTCATAAGTGATCGAAAAGGTGATAACGAATTCCTATAGATACTTTTACGTAGCGTCCAGTAGCGTAGTCAGTTTTTCTCTAGAATTAATAGTTTTAAAATTATGATCCAAACTTACGTTTTTTTGAATGAGACACCCTTTATGTTGAAAGCTCATTGTATAGCTCTGCTGACAATAGGCTCGTTCAGTGAGGTTCCATTAACCACGTTTTTTGATATTTTTATGGAGTATTACTCACATATAGCACACAAAAAAAATTCAGCGCAATTGGATAAATATTAAAAAAGTTATGCGGCTTTGAATAATAAAACATTATGCCTCAGAAATTCAACGCTTAGAGATGGTATGACGTCATCTCGCAAGTCAAGACGGGCTAAAGGCGTCGTGTGACGCCAACTTGAGAGATGCAGTGACGACACCGCGTGTTTCGAAATTTCCAAACTTGGAGCTTTTTGATAATTTATTTAAGTATGAACAAGGGCTCGGAAAATTATGAAATTTTGCACAACTGCTAAACTCAATACGCTCTTTTAGAATATGTAATAAAAAAATATGCTGAACGAGCCTATATGGGATTAGATACATATTAACTGGGAAGGTTGAGGGGGCTGTCAGGAACAGTGTGATAACAGTGGCGTACATTCGAGCAATTTTTTTTTTTTTGTATATGGCACTGTTAACAAACAAATGGCCAGCTTCGTCTTTATATACTCTTTTGGAGTCATTTCTATATTAGTATTAGGGTGATTTACACTTTACATTTGTCTCGATGCATGTAATTTTTATATATTTTTTTTAAATTAATATTACTATTATTATTATTATTTTTTTTTTTCATTTCAATTTCACTTTTATTTATTAATTTTTTTGTTTTTTAATATTTTTTTGTCAAATCTTTTTTTTATATATTTTTTTTTCCTTTGTTTTTTTTTTTTTTTTCATCTATAAGCTATACAGATTTATGCAAAGGTTCTTCTTTAACGTCCTCCTATCCAAAAGTGTTAAATTTGAATGTATCTGAACTCCTATGAAAAGTTTTCACATCAAGAGAAAGTTACAAACCCTAAGGTTTGGTTAATTTGCCAACACCTGATTCTATAAAATTTGTTCCCGTAATGTGAGCCGGAATCCGATTAACGTAACAACGTGGGAAAGTTTACTCTGATTTTTCTCTTGTAGGACCAGAAACACTAATGGATTCTTCAAACGACAAACTACTAAACAATGCGGTCTCGCAATGGGAAAATGTACATGGCATCCACTCGCAACCGACTCAAGTAATAGATTTAGTTCCGGCCCACAGACAGAACTTTTTACTAAATCAAGACATCTACTCGCAACCGACTCAAGTGATGGATATCAATCCGGCCAATCGTCCTCCTGACCCAAGATCCTTAGATGTTCTATCAAGACATTTTGGCCACCATCAATTCAGACCGTTTCAGTGGCAAATAATAAGTTCGATGTTGAACAAGAAACAAGACAATTTCGCCATTAGGGCCACCGGCTATGGAAATTCTTTGCTGTACCAATTTCCGGCCTTATATTCCCGAGGGACTACTTTAGTGATATCGCCGTTGATTTCCTTAATGCAAGATCAAGTTCTATCGTTGAGTGTAGCAAATATATCAGCTTGTTTACTTGGCAGCGCCCAAGCCCACCCAGCAGCTACAATCGAAGGAATTTTGAACAATGATTATTCAATAGTGTATTTTACTCCAGAGTTTTGTTGGCTCAGAAAACAGTTGTATGAGATTAAAAAGCGATGCCGATTGGTTCTAATTGACGTTGATGAGGCTTATTGCGTTAGTAATTGGGGCCAACATTTCAGGCCTGAGTTTAGGAAGTTGAGCATTTTAAAGGAGATATTTGTGGATGTGGACGTATTGGCTGTCACTGCAACCGCAACCAAAAATGTCTACGAGGACATTATTAGTGTTTTGGAATTGCAAAATTCCCAAGTGATTTGTCCTGACTTTGACAGGCCCAATTTGTATTTCAAAGTGCGGCCTAAATGCCAGAGCGTTTTGCGTGATTTGCAAGAAGTGATGATTCGCAAAGATGGCCAGTGGATGTTTGAAGGGCCTACAATTATTTATTGTATTAGACGTATTGATACTGAAGAAATATGTTCGTTATTGAATAAGAATAATTTCAAGTCATTGCCTTATCATACCGGATTGTCTTTGAGCGTCAGAAAGCATGCTCATGAACAATTTGTAATAGATAAAGTTCCGATAATTGTTGCCACAATTGCCTTTGAAATGGGTATTGATAAACCTGATGTCAGAAATGTAATACATTACGGAACAAGTGGCTCATTGGAAGCATATTACCAAGAGGTAGGTAGAGCTGGTAGAGATGGTCTACCATCAAAATGTGTAACATTTTTCGATTCAGTAGACTTCGAGTTCACGAGTTTTTGTTTAAAAAAAGCGGCGGCGACCAATTTTGCAAGCAACAATTACTGCATCACATGACACAATATTTGTTCAGCAAAACTTGTAGGCGGGCCTTCATTTTGAAGTATTTCGAAGATAGGGCCCCCAATTTGGGTTTCCGATACGATTGCTGCGACAATTGTTATGTTCCTCAAAATATAGATTCCTGGACATCTTTTGTTGTCCCAGCCATCAATGCAGATGATCAATTGTCGCAGCTTTTGATTCAGGAAAGAAGTCGTTTGGCTTCAATAAACGGGTGCATGCCTTACCTGGTGGTTTCCGATAATATTCTGACCAGTATAGTCAGATACGCACCCAGAACTATAGTAGAGTTGAGGGAATTGGGAATTGAAGGGTTCACAGAGGCCAGAATGAGTAAGTTTATGCCTCAATTCTTGAGATTTATCAACAATATTGATGACAATGCAATCAATCAATGCAACTTTGAAATCGGAGAAGAAAGAATTTTTGAAATGGAGCAAGATAATGATTATGAATATTATTATGATGATGATGATAATGCTGATGATTATTATGATGATAATAATGATGCAATATTTGAAACTGAAATTCCTTTAATGGAAGGAAATTTTGATGACGTACTAGTGAATGATGACAAAAATGAAATTTTGATGGCTTTGTGCGACAAAATTGAACAGGAACCCGATGAAAAAATCGTACCTAAAATTAAAAAGATGAGGCAAACAACCTTGGAAGAGAGGAATATAAAGTGTTCCTATAATTTAAACGGAAGCTAGTTATGCCTACTAGCATTAATTATCATTTTTTTTTTTTAGAAGTTTATGTTTCTTGATTTAATATTTTTCTAATTTAGTTTGTATTTTTGTAATAATAATTTTTCTCCATTATGTAAAGTTAGAACTAACCTCGGAACTAACTTTATAACATAAAAGGTTTGTATTCGTTATTTAATTGAATAAAAGTTTATTTTCAAAATAACTTTGTTTTACTTTTTTCGAATATAAGTATCAAGTAAATTCGGAAAGAAGTGCTTTCAAATATTGTGAATAATAGAATAATATTTTCTAATACAGGGTGCGGCAGAATGGACTCCCACATCCCACAAGGTCACTGAGCCTGCCGATGCCGTGGCGCTGATAGAGGGGAGTGGAAGGTTCCATTCGCTCGGGAGGGCGATAAAGTTTTTTTCGTCATACTGTACTGTTATTTTACTATAACAGGCGCGAAATTGAAATCGAAAAGTTATCTTTAACGGCCGCCGGCCGTTATTTTATCGGCCGGCTCCTATTTTTAAAAGTACCTATCTACCACCTACAACAATTTAATATTTGACAAGTTCCCTAGCAACCACATCGATATCCTTAGAAACTAATATGGAAACTATAACAAACTATGCTTAACTTATTGTTTATTGTCAGATTCTACGATTGTCAGTTTGACTGATTAAGTATAAAAAAATTCAGCGATGGAAGAAATAATCAAGAACGAAATTCCCTCAGATGTACGGAAAGAAGCAGCTGAGGCCATCAACAATTTATTTCCGGAAAGAACCAAACAGAGATATCAGCATGTTAAAGTTTCCAAACTAGGGGCAACCCTAACAATAAATTAATACACAAAAAGGTGGCTGAGGTACTCCAATAACCAAAATCGAGCAACTGGAGCTTCGTTTTTAGGGTGTCCGACTAACTAACACAGCGGAGAGTGGAGTGGGTAAACATCAAAAAGCGCCACCTGTTTTACTATACCCTACAGTCAAACGAAGCTACCGATTATGAACTAAAAACAGGAAACACTCAATCCTAATTGGAAGTACTGCAAAAACCTAAATATGCATAAAATAAAATGAAATGAAAGCGCTTTAAAATTCACTCCGGTGCATGATTTTTATTTGCCCAAAATAGTTATTTATAATTGCTTATTGTAAATGGCAGCAAACAGCTGATAAGCACCAAAATTTGAATTATTTATTTAATGACCTTTGAAAAATAATAATAAATGTTGGTCAATGACTTTTAATAATAAGAATCTATCAGTTAACTCAAATTAGACTGCGATAAAATTGGCCATAAATACATTACATAATCAATAAACATAACTAAATGCAGTACCTTCGTAAATGGCCATTTAACCCCAGTGTACAAGTATTTACCTGTATTCAGTGCCGCATTAATCAAAGTTG